TCACCTGAGGTCAGGAGTTCGAGACCAGCCTGACCCACATGGTGAAACCCTGTCTCTACTAAAATACGAAGTTAGCCAGGTGTGGTGGTGCATGCCTGTAATCCTAGCTACTTGGGAGGCCGAGGCAGGAGAATCACTTGAATCCAGGAGGCAGAGGTTGCAGTGAGCCAAGATCGTGCCATTGCGCTCCAGCCTGGGCAACAAGAGTGAAAATCCATCTCAAAAAAAGAAAAAAACAAAACGAAAAAGAAAATGCCAGGTCCTCGATCCAAATTAACCCAGCGCTGGCCTGGACATGTGTGTTGTGACAAAGACTTTCCAGTTGATTCTGGTGACAGTCCTGGTTAGGAACTCATGCCCAGTTAGGGAATTGGAGAAGCTCTTATGAGCTAGCGGAGCTTTCTCTGAGAACTTCATTCCTTTGCAAGTCTGGGATCATGGGGAGGAAAAAGATCTAGAGCTGGGCCTGACAACTGGTTCCGGGGCCTTCCCACTTCCCATTGGGGTGGCCTATGTTGCCCATCCTTTCCGCATGGTACACTTCTGGCCTTATGACCCAGTAGAACGCTAGGTACTGCTATGCCCACTCCTTCTGGACATTTCCTTCAAGGCAGTGAACTCATCCATTTGGGAAGTGAGAGCAAATCTCATTAGGCCAATTCTCAGTGAAGTATACGTGCCAACCTGCATAGGGGATTTGGTTGTTGACAACTCCTTAAATTGCAAGCCATGTCGTAAACTAAAAACTTCCAGTCGTTGTTAGATGATACTTATTTTTAAAGGGGTGGATTGGAGTATTTTCCCTGTGCATTGTTAGCCAGGCCTGCTTAGGTGACCTTGATCTAGGCATCTAGAAATTTCAGAAAAGGATGACATCATTTCTATTTAGTTGTCATCCTTTTCCTCTTATGGCTCCAGATAGGTCTCTCCATCCCACTTCCTCTCCTCCTTACCACCCATCTGCGTGTCTTAGGCAACGCTCAGCTTGCACCTGCTGTCTCCTCTCTCCTTTTCCTCCTTCCTTCTTTCCTTTTTTCACCAGTTGAGTACCTACCACATTGTACATTTGTGGATAAAAAGTAGGAGGGAGGCATCCCTGCCCTCAGGGAGCTCTAAGACTACTGGTGAGACATGGGGCACGCAGATGCTTTCAGTGTACTGGGAGAGGGCTGTCAATCCACAGAAGCCCCCATGCCCTGGGAGAGACACCTGAGCTGGGCATGGAGAGGCAGGAAAAGAGGCCCACGAGGAGTGTTGGCCTGACCTGAGTCTTGAGGCATCGGTGAGGTTGAGCCAGGCCAATTGGTAGAGGAAGGCATTCTGAGAAAGTGGCACAGGCTGTACAGGGGCCCGACTTAGCAACTCAGAACCCCAATAGCTCAATGTGGCCGGAGCTCACATGGGTATGAGGACACAAGGCAGGGGCCATAGCAGCGAGGGTTTTGTATATCTTGTTTGGTACTCTGATTTTACTTTTTCAATTCTTATCTCATAGTGAGCTTTCCTAATTCAAAGAAAATGATGTACATCATGCACATGACTTACAAATCAAATGGCAGAACTGATAGAGAGCAACCGCGTCCTGGACAGCCCCTCCTCCTCACCCGTGTCTTACTCATGGGGGTCAACCAGTTTTTACGCCTTTTAGCTCTTGCTGTCATCACCTCTGCATCCCTTGAATCAAATGCTTCTATCTCTAGTTGTCAATCAAATTTAGACATTATCTAATGAATTTCTACAGTGATAAAGATTAAGGAGCACCCTCCACTGCCACCTCTCCTGCATTTCTATTCTGAAGGCCTTGGGGAGCTAGGAACGATGTTAAACAGAGGAGCCTTAGGATGTTATCTGCATTTTAGAAAGATCAATTCAGAAGCATTGTGGGGTGTGGGTTGAAAGAGAGGAAGTAGATATAGGGTAAGCTAGAGGATAGATGGCATGGGTTTGCCCTAAGGCAGTAGTTCTGTTAAGTGAGGGAAAGAAGAGCATGCCAGAGAGAACTGGGAACTGAACGAGCAGGACTGGGGAATGGGTGCCCTGATAATTTACTTCGCCATGCATAATTAGGCAACAATATTTTCTATAGCATTTTTTTTTTGAGACAGTTTTGCTCTTGTTGCCCAGGCTGGAGTGTAATGGTGCAATCTCAGTTCACCACAACCTCCACGTCCCGGGTTCAAGTGATTCTCCTGTACCACCTTGATCACCTAATTTTGTATTTTTAATAGAGGCGGGGTTTCTCCATGTTGGTCAGGCTGGTCTTGAACTCCTGATCTCAGGTGATCTGCCCGCCTCAGCCTCCCAAAGTGCTGGGATTACAGGCATGAACCGCTGCACCCAGAAAATTAGGCAGAAACATTTTCATAAGGACCTTAAAGCCAGAGAGTTTTGAATCAGCATCTCCATCTAGAAGAAAAATCTTGAATGCAACTCTGCAAGAATGGAATTCTAAAAATTAAAAGAGACATTCATTACCAGTTTGGGCTTAGAGTTTAATTCTAGGGGTGCAACCCTGGTTAATTAAAAGGGGAGCCTATTTTCACTTCTATTTAATGCCCCTTTCCATTTCTGAAATACTGAAATCTTCCTTACCTTTGCAAAGAGTTTCTATTCTAAAGCAAGAGCTAACATTATATATCAGTGTGAAACACTGGAGTTCCCCTGGAAATCTAAAGAAAATCAAAGTGCTTTAAAAGCCCAATATTATCATTACTTTTATTGTGACTTTTACACACATATATTTTTTTGTTTTCCAGAGAGAGTCGTTTATAAAACAAAGCAAACAAAATTTTACAGAAGGGTTTGTATTCTGGTCATGGACAGCAGCAACGAAGGGTGCTCTCAGGGGCCTGTGGCACTTTGCAGCCTGGTTTAAGGGTGAGGACACTGGGGACAATGCTGGAGGCAGCTACTCTAGGGCAGTCAGATCCCTGGCAGTGCAGAGGCAAAAAATGGTGGTTTCTGAGCACCTCCGTTACTCATTAGTGAATTTGGGCAGGGGAACACCTACTTGTAAAGGAATCTGTTGAACTGGTGAGAGGAAGCCCCAGCAGAAGAGTTTGGTGACCAAAACTGTCCCCAGCATTAGAGGGGCTTCACATTTTTGTCTCCTGAAGGGATGGCTGCTGCTACTCCCTGGCTGGCTTCTAGGGGCGCTCTGATCTTCACAGCCCTCCTCGCCAACTTATGTGTAGTCTTTTTCTTCTTGAGCCGAGAAAAGAATGGTAGCATTTTTTCAGACATATTGAATCAAGACACAATATTTTTAAAATAAAAAATTTTTTTACAGATGCTTATAAGGCATGGATGCAGTTATTTCTACATTTAGTGTTGTTTTGTTTCTAAAGTAATGTATTTGTTATTTATCCTCCTACTCACTACCTGACTCTGAAGGAGTTGGCATGTTTTGCAATAAAAGACAGATGCTATGGAAACATTAAGATAAAGAGAAAGCACACAGTCCATGAACAGAATTTTAGGAGAGCAGATAGGAATTCAAACATAGTTGCTAGAGCATTAAAAAAAAGAAAAACTCTTAAATTTTTTGGAAGCAAGTAAAAAAAGAAATTTTTGATTATATGATCAAATAAAATTTACCAGTTTCTCAAAAGATGTAAATGGCAGAAAAGTTTACAGAGCATACAATTTTTTTAAGCCAAATAAATAAATAATTAGAAGTGTTGACTGACGTCTGGTCGCAGGTGGTTAGACCACGGAGTTCCCCAGACACGCAGACAGAAGCTCGCGTCTTAGTTTCTCCTGGTTCCCTATGTTAAAAGTGCTGCCTCTCACTGGACAGGTGAGTGTGCTGCTGCATTCGCATCCGGAGAGACGCTTACAGGCTCCAGCTGATGAGCAGAGCAGGGTAATTGCTGTTCCTTATGCTAATGAGGGATCACGTTCTCCCTAGCTCAAATCATCAGCTTTCCTGCTGGCCCCAGGGGACTCTCAACTTCTTTCTTGTGTACACAATTCGGAGGTGTGACCTTGGACAACAGAGCTCCCAAAAGTCAAAAGGCTGCTTGCATGTGTTGAAATTATTTGTGCAATATCACGTGGGAATTGTCTATAGGTGAACACAGTTTTCTAGAAAGAAGGCATCCAGTTTTTATTATGTTTTCAAGTCAGCTCATAACTTCAAAGAGATAAGGAGAATTAATGCAGGATTCTATCACTACATCTGTGATATTGCATAAGTTTCACCGTGAAGTAACATGCATTGAAGTAGGGTGCTCTTCATTCCACCTTGCGCTGTGGACTATACCTTCTACAACTATTGCTTAGGATAGACAGGGATCCTTCCTCATGGTGTCTCTAGCCCCTTCTCTGCTCTTTGCTATAATATCAAATCATAATAAAACCACAGTGAATATATCTATAGTGCTTTATGGTTTATAAAGTTTATGTAAATATATCATTAATGTAAGCTTCACAGTGACTCTGGGAGGTAAGCGTTACAGCCTCCGTCTTACAGATGAGAAACCTCAGGTTCAGAGATTTGCCGTGACTGGTTCAAAGTCTCACTAGAGGTAGTAGATTCTGGGTCCGTGAGGGAATCTGAATCCTGTTACATGTTTATAGTGTACTCTTTCTCACTGGGAACCATGATGAGATTGGAAACGCTGGACTTTCCACATAGCTGAAACCATCCCAAGCCATTAATCTTCCTGTTGGCTCACTTGATGCTCTGAAATGTGTTCTCAGCTGCTCAGTATATACATCATAAATTACTGCTTACAGTATCTATAGAAAAGGTGATTTTGCTAGATGGTAGAGCAAGACATTGGCATATGTGACATATATTAAACCTTGGATACATAGACTCCTGTCCTGGTCACAGAGTTGCCCACAATGGCAAGTACAATGGGGGTGGGGTGATGCTGGTGGAAAGGGGAGCTTTCATTTATTTTGGATGGACCTTAGCAGTTTTCAATCATTTGCACAAAAGGATTTGACTCTCTGCCCATCAGAAGGCACTTCTTCTGACTTTCCCCAAACAGGAGGCCTACAAGACACGTGAAGATATCATCAGGCTGGTGGGGGAGGTGGTGAGCGTCACTGGGGCTGTGATCATCCTGCTCCTAGAGGTGAGGTGCAGGCGGGGTCCAGGCTAAGCCCCTCCCATCTAAGGCCCAGACGGAACCACAGTCTGCATTGTCTTTTTGCTTTGCTGTCCTCTCCCCAGATCCCAGACATCTTCAGGGTTGGTGCGTCTCGATATTTTGGACAGACGACTCTTGGGGGGCCATTCCATGTCATCATGTGAGTATCCCCTCATTCCAGCCCCCTGCCTTTCCTTACCAGAATCGTTTCCCATCTCCCAGTTCACTCTCTGAGATCTAGACCTCAGCTCACTGTCACTCCAAGGATTTCTCTCCAGTTGGCTTGTAGGTGTGACTGTATGTGTGTTTCAGGTGTAAAGACTAGGCCTGAGTGTGTGGGTAGCACTGTGCTGTAGGAACCTAGAATAGTTTCAGTCTGTTTCTCACTCACTGCTCCCTGCTCCCCCAGCATCACCTATGCCTCTCTGGTGCTGGTGACCATGGTGATGCGGCTCACCAATACCAATGGGGAGGTGGTGCCCATGTCCTTTGCCCTGGTGCTGGGCTGGTGCAGTGTCATGTATTTCGCCCGAGGATTCCAGATGCTGGGCCCCTTCACCATCATGATCCAGAAGGTCAGTACTTTTCCACAGCTTCCTCTGCCTCAGGCACAGGGCCCTCCCAGAAAGAGGGATGGCGGTAGAGTAGAGCTGGTAGAACTCTGGGGGCCTCCTGACCTGCTCGCGGTAGCTGCTCAGAGGCAGTGGAAAAACAATTATCCCACCCTTTCTCCTTTGTCTGTTTCCTGCAGATGATTTTTGGAGACCTAATGCGTTTCTGCTGGCTGATGGCTGTGGTCATTTTGGGATTTGCCTCCGGTAAGGCACCATTCCCACCTCTACTAGATCAGCAGATCCAGTTCTCCCGAAAGTTTACTCTCATTCTTGCTCTCAGTTCACATTTGCACTTCATTTTGCCCTTTTTTTTTTCTCCTGTTGGAAAGTAAGTCTAAAAGCACACCCATATTTACAGGACCAGGGGCCACTCAGGTTGGCCTAGAAGGTAAAGCCATGTGTTAAGGGTCAATAACATTCACGTTCACTAACTGCCCTGCAAGGGCTTTAAAGGAGAGACAGAAAAAGACCTTTGATGAGAGTGGGGCATTAAACAAGAAAGAGTGGCCAGTCTCGGATCTCAGAAAACCATGTGGACAAACAGATGGTGCCACGCTTAACTCTCCTATGTCTACAATGCAAAAGAGGAACCAAAGCACTCAACAACATGTAGCTTGCTTTCCTTCTATATGTGGTCGTTTAAAGTTGAGAAAAATAATGAAGAATTGTAAAAAGGAGGTGCAGAAAAACAGCTTGGACGGTTTAAAGAATGACAGAGAAAATAATAAAGAAGAATTGTGAAGAGAGACTGGGAGAACAGGGACACACGGGCACCCAGTCAAGGCACAGCCAGTCAGCGTGCCAGGGAGCTGCAGAAAGGAGCAGCACAGCAAGGAGCTACAGAAAGGAGCAGCACGGCAAGAAACCACAGGCAGCTGGAGAGAGCCAGAGGGAAGGAGAGGGTGGGGGGACGAGCGGAAGAAGGTCCTTAGAGAGGGGCAGAAAGAGGAAGGCCTAGGTCTGAAGAGTGAAAGGTGAGTAACTCAAATTCAGCCCTCAGTGTCTGCAACTGATCATCTGTTAGACAAGAGGAGGCACTAGATGGCCTATGAGGATCCCCCCATCTCTAAAAAGCGTGACGCAGTGCAGAGGACTCTATTACTGTCCTCAAGAATTTCCCATTCAATGGGGATTCCCCCAAAACAATAGACCTAAATAACAACAATGACCAAAAACAGTAACAACAAAAAACCACCACCGAAATCTGAAATGTGAAAGGGTGAAACTATGGCTTTCTGCCTGTTTGGAGTTCTCCACCCCAAGCCCTCATGTATCCTTTCCTCCCACTCCCTGGTCATCTACATCTACATATGACACAGATTACAAAATGAGGTGGTGGTCACAGAGTGGCTCTCTGCAGATGTCCTCTATCCAGAACTCTCTAAACGATCCCTTTGTGGCCATTGCACTTGCTTTTCTCTTAAATAAATAAGGAGGCAATGCTTTGTTAAAGACCCTGTTTCTGCCCTTGGAATCACCTTGTACTTCAGTCCCCCATGCAGAGAGGAGGCTTTCAAATAGTCTAGTGCTGTCCTGAAGTTCCAGTGTCACTGCTATCCGGTAGGCTCCACCCTGAGCAGGAATCTGTTTCCTATGATGGTTCAGGTTCACCCAGGGAATGGCAGAGTGACGGACGGTTATCTAGAGGCCATCAAGATTAAAAAGGGGCTCTTCTTTTAGCCTGTTCATGTGTTCTGTTCTTTAAAAATTGTTGAAGATTCCATGCATTCTTGTAATAACTCGCCTTTTAAGTATTTGGTTTTCTAAAATGTAGAAACCAGTTAGGTGACCTATTATCCATTATCCATACACACACATACACACTGCACACACATACAATTTTGTTGTTAAATGACTGATTATTACTACCATGACCATTACCCAGAGTGGTGAACTTAATCTTCGGGCATATTAGGGTTAGACAGTTCCACAGGAAAGATTTATCTGTACGTAATTACCTGTGCATCTGTGCAAGTGTATTTAGACAAATATGTAAATCAGAGATAGAATAAGTGCTTACCAGGTCCATGCTTATTGTGGTAACTTCATTATCCCATCTCCATGTCCTCTTCCTGGGCGGAGCAGCGTTCTATATCATTTTCCAGACAGAGGACCCAACCAGTCTGGGGGAATTCTATGACTACCCCATGGCACTGTTCAGCACCTTCGAGCTTTTTCTCACCGTTATTGATGCGCCTGCCAACTACGATGTGGACTTGCCCTTCATGTTCAGCATTGTCAACTTCGCCTTTGCCATCATTGCCACACTGCTCATGCTCAACCTGTTCATCGCCATGATGGGTGACACCCATTGGAGGGTGGCCCAGGAGAGGGATGAGCTCTGGAGGGCCCAGGTGAGTTCTTTTGTGTTAGTCTTGCTAAGAGGCAGGAGATGGAGAGAAAAATCCAAGTGGGCTATGTTATGGTGGATCATTCTTAAAAGAGTCACACAAAAATCCAGTGAGGCTGTCACCTCAACAGAGGTTTGCATACACCTGAGGTGCATGTGGGTAAATGGAAGGGATGGAAGAAGGATTAAATGAAGGATACTGGCATGAGGGGGATTGTTGCTCACAGGTGAAAAGTCGATCTAGTAGTCATCCTTTAGTCCAGTGGGAACTAGAAATGGCCTTGTTCTGGTATATTCCAGTTTTTCATTTGAACCTTCTATTTGCTTCTATAAATCCCTGTTTCTCCAAGATCTTTTCTTTATACCATAGGCTAACAAATATTGCAATTGGAAGTGACCCTCAATGGCCCTCAAGTTGACCTCCTACTTAACATAATAGTCATTTATTGGTCAGGTCGTTCAATATCTTCTTTAATGCTGATTAGGACCTTATTATCTTATAAATTCAGGTAGAGGATAGGCGAAGGGGAGTTTTCTTATATTTTTAAAGATTTTGTTCTTAGACATTCATGTTGCATTGAGCTAAAGCCTATATTCTTAAAATTTCATTCTTTGGCCCCAGTCTTTCCCTCCCATATAACACAGAACACATTCTTCCATATAAGCACCATTCAAATATTTGAAAATAGCCATCGTTTTTCCCTTAGACTTTTTATTCATTTAATGATGATCATTGAGACCCTGCTGTGTGTTGGAAAATGTCTAGGAGCTGGGAACATGAGCATAAACACAACAGACACCATCTGTGCCCTCATGGAGCTGACCGTTTAGTTGGAAAGACAGGCATGAAGCGAATGACTTCATGGCCTTAGATTTGGTTTACTTAAATTTCCTGTTATTGATTTTACACCAGCATTTCAGTCTAGTGAGATCATTTTATATTGCTTCTGTTGCCCCACATATTATGTATCCCTCCTAGTTTTGTGTCACAGGCACATTTGATAAGCTTGTCTTCCACGTTTCATCTAAGTAATTAATGAAGGCTGAGCAAAGGACAGAACGTGCAGCCGACTTGCTCCTGGAAATTTCCCGGCCAACTTTGCAGTCATTAATCAACCCTTTTCCTTCTTAAGATATGGATATTTAATTTGCTGAAAATTCCCTGAACGGTAACAGTGTCAATTCACCCCCAGGATCATAGATATTCTATTTAATCATTTTATTTAAATCAAGATAACCGGTCTATGGCTTTTCTGTGAAAAAGAAATTGAGATCAGTTTGGAGTGACTCATTTTCCATGAGTCTGAATAGTAAAGTAAGGGCCGCTATTTTATTCAAAACACTCACCAAAATATCCTCTCTCATTTCTTGATGAGTGAAGCTGGTAGCATAGTGCCTGGTGTAGGCTGGGGGGTGAATAGGTGGCTGTTCTCACCACCCACCTTTAGTGTCCTGTCTTCGCAGGCTGCCTTTGGTTCCTTTGCCAGTGGCCTCAGTGCCTCTCTGACCCTCATGGCTCTGGCTGAGTTCTTCCTGTCCCTCTTTCCTCCTTCCAGGTCGTGGCCACCACAGTGATGCTGGAGCGAAAGCTGCCTCGCTGCCTGTGGCCTCGCTCCGGGATCTGTGGGTGCGAGTACGGGCTGGGGGACCGCTGGTTCCTGCGGTGAGTGACGTGTGCGCATGCAAAGCTGCAGACGCGTATAAGGCCACGGAAGCAAGGGTGACAGAGAGCTGTCCTGGAGCCTGCCTTAGCCTGTCTAGGGGAGGGGGCTGGAGCCGAAGTGGAGGGGTAAGAAGAATGCTGTGCATACCTCAGGGCAGCCACATATAAAAGGTTGTGTGCATGTGTCCATCCTCAGGTGTCAGCATGGGTTACCCAACTGGCTGTAGTCTTGTTCCGAGCTGACCTCCATTTCCAGTATACTTTTGGCTTGGATCTAACTTCCTCCTTTATAGTCTGCCCTCATCTCCTGATGTGACTCTCCTCTCTCCTCACATTTGCTTCTTGAATTGCATCTCGTCATCCTTGTGACACACTTATCTATTCGTTGGCTCTGTTTTCTTTCACATTCCCACGTATTAGCAACACATCATACACACACACACATACACACACACACACACACACACACACCCCTGTGTGCATCCTACCACCCTGCAAGCCCTGCTTTCTCAGCCTCGATCATCTCTATCCCAGGTTAGCCTCCACTCCAATCACCTCCCTTCACTTGATCCCGGAGACTCTTCCTGCTTCAACTCTACTCCCTTCTTTCTTCTTCCCTCGTGACTCTGCTTTCTACATATTCACCTCTGCTTCTCCCCTGCCCCTCTCTCCCCACCTGGACTGAGTCCTTTCCCCTTTCCCCCATCAGGGTTGAGAACCACAATGATCAGAATCCTCTGCGAGCGCTTCGCTATGTGGAAGCATTCAAGAACTCAGACAAGGAGGATGACCAAGAGCATCTTTCTGAGAAACAGCCCTCTGGGGCTGAGAGTGGGACTCTAGCCGGAGCCTCCCTGGCCTTCCCAAATTCCTCCCTATCCCGGACCACGTCCCAGAGCAGCAGTCACCGAGGCTGGGAGATCCTTCGTCGAAACACCCTGGGGCACTTGAATCTTGGACTGAACCTTAGTGAGGAGGATGGAGAGGAGGTCTACCATTTCTGATTAGCATCACTGTCACTCTTGACCTTACTCCCGGTTAGTCTGGGGGTGGGGACAGACACAGAGACATCTGCCTATGCAAGTGTCTAACTTCTGTGCCTGTTAATCATGGGAGGATGGGACAGGAGAGTCCATAAGGGGCCATGTCTCACACTTCACATGAGAATTTCTGGCAATGGACAACGGTCATCTATTGTCTTACGTATTTTCTGGGTTCTTGTAAGTCCCACATCTCAGGAAAAAGGAAGTCGGCAACTAAAGACATGTGGTAGGGATGCTAGATTAATGTCAGGACCATTTCTCTTCTGCCCCACACAGTCCCTAGAAAGTAGTAAGCTGTGGCCAGGTGTGGTGGCTCATGCCTGTAATCCCAGCACTTTGGGAGGCTAAGGCAGGTGGATCATGAGGTCAGGAGTTCAAAACAAGCCTGACCAAGATAGTGAAACCCTGTCTCTACTAAAAATACAAAAAAAAAAAAAAATTAGCCAGGCCTGGTGGTGGGTGCCTGTAATCCCAGCTTCTCAAGAGGGTGAGGCAGAGAATTGCTTGAACCCAAGAGGCGGATGTTGCAGTGAGCCAAGATTGTCCCACTGCACTACAGCCTGGGAGACAGAGCGAGACTCCAGCTTAAAAAAAAATTAAAAAGTAAGCTCTGAGGCTTTTCTGGCTCCCCAGGGCTTCATGTGGGGAGGGCCAGGCATGGCTTAGAAGTGTGGCCCTTCTTTTTTTCCTAACCTCCTGTTGGGCTGTCTCCCCAGTGAGCACCCAAACCGCAACTACAATGAGAAAATGTCCTTATTCTTGCCTTCTTTAATTTTTTATTGAGGCACAATACATGTCACGTAAAATTTACCATGTTATCTGTTTTAGATGTACAATTAAGTGGCATTAAGTACATTCACATTGTTGTGTAACCATCACATTGTGTAACCATCACACCGTTATTCATTTATGAAACTTTTTCATCATTCCGAACTGAAACTCTAATCTCCATTGAACAATAACTCTCCAGCTATCTCCCTGCGCCAGCCCCTGATAACCAATATTCTACTTTCTGGCTACAAATTTAACTGTTCTAGGTATCTTATACAAGTGGGATTCTGCGATCTTAGTCCAAAATCTGCCAAATTTTGTTTATTCATCTACCAATGGACACTTGAGTTTTTTCCACCTTTTGGCTGTTGTGAATAATGCTGCTGTGAACCTGATGTACAAATATCTGTTCAAGTTCCGATTTTCAGTTACTTTGGGCATATACCTAAAAATGGAATTGCTAGGTAATTCCTACGTTTAATTTTATGAGGAACGGCCCTACTGTTTTTCACAGTAGCTTTTACCATTTTACATTTCCGTCTAATGGGCATGAAGTGGTTTCACATGTAGTTTTGATTTGCCTTTCCCTAACCACCAATGATACTGAGCATGTTTGTGTGTACCTGCTTATTGGGCATTTATATATCTTCTTTGGAGAAATGTCTTTTTGGTTTATTTTTCCATTTTTGAATTAGGTTTTGTTGTTGTTGTTGTTGAATTGCCCTATCTTTGCTTTTTGAGGCTCACAGTCTGAAGTGTTTGCATCCTGCTGTGTTTTTAAGTATGTATGGCAAATTATGCCTATATTTGAATGGCCTAATCATTTATTTTCTAGGACCCTCCTGCTCTGTCCCTAGCAGCTAATCATCCTTGTGCCTGGAGGCAACAGGCTCCTGCTTGGACTCCTGACATAGCCATCCTCCATTCCCATCTCCCTCTGCACCACACTGAGCTGTGAAAGGACCAGCAACAACAGAGGAAGGGTCATCCCTCTCCAGGAGGGAAATTAGGAATCAGGGGTCCAGGGCACCCATTATAGGTGCTCATGGGTAACCTCTCTTGTGTCTGCGGCACTATACTTCTAATTCTAGCCCCATCATCACCCTCACCAAAAAGCCATGACAGCTTTTCAGAGGACTGTGGTCTGGGATAGCAGAGATATAAGCGGGATTTGTGAAACCACAGACTGTTCATTCAGATACCACCAGCTCAGGGCTGAGTGCCCAACAGTGAGGGATCACATAATGTGTTATATACATGCTCACACACACTGTGTAACACACATGTTCACACACTGTGTTATACACATGTTCACACACACTGTGTAACACACATGCTCACACACAATGTGTTACACACATGCTCACACACACTGGGACACATGGGTGGCAGGGTATGTACAACTGCTCAGTTGCCGTCATTCTTCTTTATTCTCTTCATAGTGGAAGCTCTTTAAAACTCTGCTTCTGTAGTCCTTTGTTTTTGTTTTTGTTTTCTGAGACAGGGTTTTGTTCTGTTGCCCATGCTGGAGTACAGTGGCGCGATCACTGCTCACAGCAGCCTTGACCTCCTGGACACAAGTAATCTTTTCCCCTCAGCCTTCCAAGTAGGTGGCACTACATGTGTGCACCACAACACCCAGCTAATTTTTGTATTTTTTTTTTTAAGAGATGGGGTTTCGCCATGTTGCCCATGGCTAGTCTTGAATTCCTGGTCTCAAGCAATCCACCTGCCTCGGCCTCCCAAAGTGCTGGGATTATAGGCATGAGCCACTGCACTCAGCCCTGTAATCCTTTTAATACTTGCTTAACTTGCCTATAAACTTATATGTTTTTTGATTTGAGCCCTTGGCATACCCCCAGGTATTGTCCTTTGTCCTGGTACACCTGGTATATAATTAAAATTTCTTACCACCTAGGTTTTTCACTAAAAATAAGAGCTACTATGAATTAACATTATAAATTAATGAATGTAATTAAAACTACTAGGTACAAACAATGTGTATTAAAGAGGTAGGATGTGGTTTTTTTTTAAAACAAATGTTAAAATAAGTCACGAGAGTGTGGCTCTTGAAAAAAAAAGGTTTTTTTTTCAAGTTTAGAAGATTTTTTTGTTTTTGAGACTGGGTTTCACCACGTTGGTCAGGCTGGTCTTGAACTCCTGACCTCAAGTGATCCACCCGCCTCGGCCTCCCAAAGTGCTGGGATTATGGGCGTGAGCCACAGCGAGTGGCCCTAGTTTAGAAGATTTTAAGGATTGTTTCAAGTTAACAGAAAGGACAAAACTGAAGTTTTAAGCAAATTGTAGAAGGTTTGTGGAAGATTGATCTTATAAAAGAAATTTTCTGTGTGATCAAGTTTGGCTAAAATTTTAAGGGGATTATTTAGTTTTTATATAAATTGAACATTAATATAAATAGCACATTGATGAAGGGGTCCAAATCTGGGCACCTGTGTGAGGATAACAGGATTTTCTTGGAATATTGATCTGTTCTTTAACATGAATTTATAAAGTTTAAAAGAGTCTTGTGGAAACCTTACCTTATAATCAAACTCACTAAAATTTGATAGATTTGCTTACAAGATTCTATTAAAATTAGCTTTAGAATTAATAATATGGTAATAGAAAAAATAAAATTTGGTTTTATTTTTTAAATAAGATTTTTGTATAATATTAAGATATGGTAAAAGATTTTCATTTACTCTTTGAATAAACGGCAAAAACAAAATAATAATAAAGAAAAAGAGAAAGATTCAGTTGACTTCATGCCTCTATTAGGTCCTATTTTTTTAGGAAACTAAGCTCTTCTTTATCAAGATGTAAAGATTTCTGCTTTAAAAAAAAATTGGTCAGTTATCACTTTAGCTAAATGACTTACTTCATAATAACCTGTAATCTCATTTTGTGATATCAAGTGCTTTAAACTTTTAATGTTTGGCAAATTTTCCAAAATTAAATTCTAAATGCAGTCTTTTAACCTCAAACTGACTTTTAAAGGTCCAAGAGAAACATATTTGGCTTAGTTGATATGTTAAAATCATACAGGAAGCATTGCCAAATATAAAATGGTATTTAACTTTCTTTGGGATATATTTATATAAATGTGCTATTGCTATGTGTTCCAAAATTGCATAACATTATTATAATTTTAATATGTCTTGGTATATATTATTAGTAATAATTATAATTATTTTAAATTATTGTGTGCCACAGAAATAATCAGATTTCCTTGTCAGTTATATCTTTGACCACGGATATCTTTTGTCATTCACAATTATTATTTTACTTTGTTCCTTATCAAAACGTTGTTTATAATCAGCTATAGGACTCTGATGGTGTATTAGTCCATTCCCACACTGTTATGAAGAGGTAGTCGAGACTCAATAATTTATAAAGAAAACTTTAATTGACTCACAGTTCTGCGTGACTGGGGAGGCCTCAGGAAACTTAGAATCATGGCAGAATCACCTCTTCACAGGGTGGAAGGAAAGAGAATAAGTGCCAAGCGAAATGGGTAGCCCCTTATCTAACCATCTGTTGCCCCTGCTGGAGTACAGTGGGCAACTCACTGAGAGAGTGAGTTCTCATGACAGCTCACTATCACGATAACAACATGGGGGGAATATGCCCCCATGATTCAATTACCTTTCACTGGGTCCCTCCCACTACATGTGGGTATTATGGGATTACAATTGAAGATAAAATTTGAGTGGGGCCACAAGGCCAAACCATATCAGATGGATACTTTTAAATGAAGATTTCTGACAGCTTTGGAGATTGTTCCATTAAAATAGAGAGAAAAAAAGAAACCTTCAGAGATCTGATGTATTCATGAGGATTGCTGACCCAATATCAAGTAGAACAGAGGTTAATTGCATGAACTGAGCTAATAGAAGACTAAAATAATTTTTTGTGTGACCTTTTTTATCTGAAACATTGCTGATTCTTTTCAGTTTTTGGGTTGTTTACAGCTTTAATAATTGAGTAAAATATGCTCTTGTGAGCCAAATTTAAAGCATATTTCTTTCTTTCTACCTGATTTCTCCAGAATTTGAAAACTATTTTTGAGTATTCTTAATTTATGTCAATATCATTATTTGTATGAGTTCAATAAAAATCTCCTTTCTTTTGTAACAGGACACAATTGGAGACTACTATTTTACTAAAGCTTTACTACTGACTAGAATGAAGTTTTTTTTTTTTTTTTTTTT